AGAGACAAACAAATAGTATTGTCTGAACAAACTGTATTGCTAATTTGCATGTATCCAACAAAGATAGGCGATGTTTTCATGTTGCATGATCGACCATATTTGAAAGATGAATAGTTAAAAGTTAAGCAGGTTAGGTTGTTAGGTTTTGGTCTTGGTGTTTACTATCTTAAGGTATTCTGCTCATAACTATTTTTTTCAAAACAAAAACTCCCACTAAATTTATTATAACGGTGTCACTTCAAAACCATGAAATAAAATGAAGATGAAAATAATCAGTGAAATAACCGAACTTCGCAAAATCATAATACAAATTTGTTGTCATTATGTTCCTGAAAGCGTGTTTTTTATCATCGACGTAGTACGTCTATTGATTACTTCAGTACGATTTATGGTATGACGTAATAGTCATCTTTCGTGATTTTGACAATATTAAGAATACCGTCTCTTGTGAAAGAGGCTTCATCGGTCCATAAAAACATAGCGTAAAAAATTTGGTTGTGCAGTGATTTGATGAAGAAGCCATTGACAAAATTGAACTCTAGGATGATAGTCGGCTGCAGTCAATCCTTGAACTTTCTGGAAGTGGTAAGGATAAAGTTGTTGCTCGTGTAACACCCGCCAGACGGAAGCGTTACTCGTATTCATATCCTCAGCAATGTGACGTGTGCTACTTGATGGTTCATCGGCAACTCGGTGAAGGACCTCTTCTTCAAATTAGACCGCTCTTACGGTTCGAGCAACACCAGTATCATGCATGTTGGTTTTAAACACGCCTGTCTCGGAGAGCCGCCGATAAATAGCAATAAAATTTTTGTATCCCGGATGCTGTCGTTCGGGATAACGTTCTTGATACAACAATTAATTTATATTAAATTCTTGCAAACTTCACAAATACGATAGCACGAATGTTATCGTTTTGAAGATAACAACACACAAGCGCCGGATATGGGTCACTATACTCAATTTTTTTCTACTGTTCCACTGAATAACCCTTACAAGTTTGATCCCATATTTCTGCAACACCCTGTATTGATTGTAATGAACTCTTGTGTTGATTTAGGTTGTTTGCGTTTGACACTATATTGTCTGAGGCCTTACTGTCCAGTACTGTTAATTTGAATTTTTTTTCAATTCTAAATTTCCTTTTTGATTATTCGAGTTGCTCTTTTTCCCTTTTGGTATTAAATGCTCAGTTCATCATATTTTCTCTTTAATGTACATATCATTCCCTTTTGACTATGACTGTAGATTTTATCTTGTAATATATTGATTTTAGTAAATTTTCTGTTTCCACTGTATCCTGCCCACTACTATTGAAGCTTGTTTGATCGCGGAAGGGCTTATATAAATAATCGCAAGAGCTCACACTATCTGAGATAAGATTTAAGCAGCTCACTTATTCGTCACGAGCTCATAGTAATGTATGATAAGGAGAAGAGGCTATGAGTATACAGATTACCGATAACATGTGCTAAATACCCCCAAAACCTAGGAGGCACAATATCGCGTATAAACATGTGGTATTCCTGCTGTATACGATTTTCAATGTGTAATGTCAGTTACATCTCAGTTCGTAAAATATCTACCAACACTAAACACAAACGTTAGAGGATTCTCCTACAGTTTATCCATTTTGTTAACTCTGATTTGTTCGGAACTGACAATATTTGTCCTGCGTTCCTGACGAGCGCTAATGCCATCTGCACTTTCACAAAGGCGTGTTGTGAACCTGAATACAGTGGACCTCCGGTAATCTGACATACATTATGCAGGACAGTGTCGCACTATCGAATTTGTCGGATTATAGAGCACTGCCTAAGACCCCCTATAGTCCGGAATTTTTTACAAAAGAGTACCTTGTAATCCGACAAATTACATATCCAATGGTAAGATTATATATGTTATGTATATGTATGTACTTTGAAGTACAAATCATAAATAGTTTATGTATGTCGAATTTAGTAAATTAAATAACAATAGAGAGCTTACGTTTTATTATAAAATTAAGCATAAATGCACATACATATGTACCAAAATAATCAAGAATTATTAATCAAAATCATTAATGAATTTATCAAATTATGAAGCTTGGAAATATTCATCAATTTTTTTTGTTTAACGCGAGATCAGAGCTTTGTCCCTCAGTCTTCTCAAAAGTAAAAGTTCGTTGTAGGATGTACCATTCTCTCCAGCCCATTGTAAACCTAGCTCAAAGGCGTTAATTGCGTCTTGTGTTGTGACTTGTGGAGCAGTTGCAATCACGTCGTCGTTATTTTCCTGATTGTTTGTTGTATAATTAGAAACCTCTTTTATAATCTCTTCGTCAGACATTTCATGAAAAACATTTTCCTCTTTATCCATTCTACGGCACCAGATTTCCAAATCTTCCGGACTTCTGTGTTTCAGTAGCGACTTGTTCTATAACTTCCGAAGTAAATCTGATTTGTGGAACGTTGCTAGGAGTGGTGACTATATCTGGCCAAAACTTTTTCCAAGACGATTTAATAGTTGATGACGGTAACGCATTCCACGACAGACAAAGAGTAAAACCCAAGTCTTTCATATTAAATTCTTTTAAAGTTTTTTCTATTGGTTGGTCTTTTGATACGGCTCTCAGAAGTAGGTTTTTCTTATAGTCTTGCTTGACAAATTAAATTATATTCTGGTCCATCGATTGAATCAGTGCAGTGCAATTTGGCTGAAGAAACATTGCAGTGATGCATTTATCCTCAGTAGTTAGTTCTTCTTCAGACGGATGACCGGGAGCGTTATCAAGAAGCAACAGCGCTTTTTTAGGAAAATTATGATCTTTTAACTATTTTATAACTTCAGGTACGAAGCATTCATCAAACCACATTTTGAAAAGGTCTTTTGTCATCTATGCACTTTTTGTCCGTAATAGTGTGCAGGAAAATGTTTTTGAATGCCCGTGGTTTATTAGACTTTCCAATGACCATCATCTTAAGCGTGTGTGTGCCCGCAGCGTTAGCACATGGTAGTATGGTTACACGCTCTTTACTTATTTTTCGTCCAGGTACGAAACTTTTGTTATGCATCACACGCCAAAAAAGCCCTGATTCGTCTGCATTGTACACCTGTGACGGGTCAAGATTTAAATCGTTCACCTTTTGCAAAAAATCTTAATTTAAGGGGCTCTATGCAGGTGGCATCGTTCGAAAGTTTATCTCCTGTAATAGTCATTAAACGTATGCCATGACGACTTTTAAAAAGTTCTAGCCATCCTTTGCTGGCCACAAAATCATCTTTTTTTGTTATATCCTTATAACAAACCTTCATGGCCAACATGGCTCCTGAAATTGGTGCATGCCTATTTCTTTCCTGAAGAAACCACATGTACAAAGCTTCTTCCACTTCTGGATGTTCAGCTTTCTTGAGTGTCTGTCTCTTGCCTAGCCCGCAGTCAGTAGTTGACACGATTTTCTTGATCTTCTCGTGGTTTCTTTTAATGTCATAAATTGTAGATCGGCCTACGCCGTATTCACTTGCTAAACTACTGAAAGTTTCATTACGATTTAAGCGGTCTAAAATATCACATTTTTCTTTAATTGTCAATGTTTTGTGCTTTCGCTTCTGAGTTTGTGATGACATTACTAGGTACTATACTTAATACACCATGAATAAATAGTAAACAATGAACGCACGCTAGGCCGTACCGCTATCACCAGTAGTCAAATTCAAACTAAGTAAAACAATGCTTTCGCGTCGAGCACGATAGCGGTGGGGCGTACAAGTTGTAACCTGTTCAAACCCGCGTGATCTACATTAGCGAAGATTGTCAAATACGTATGTATGTAATACATATTCAAAGACATGTCGGATTACAGGGGGCGCCGGATTAGACAGGGGCCGGATTATCGGGGGTCGACTGTATATGCAAGTTAAGAAATATCACAACTGGACAAACAGTCGAATATGTAACATAATTAACACTACGACGTATCTCGTAGGTTGTTTACCTGCACAAGATGCCAGCTACGAGTTATCTTGTAGCTAACTATCTTGCAGTTGGCTATGATTGAATTAGATTGACTTGTCCTTGAATAAGCCATGGCAGTCATCGTGTTAAGAACATACCAAGCCCTCTTTATTATAAAACCTGCCAAAATTTTTTGCACATTTTCGCAGCCCCTAAAGGAAATTCTCTGTATTCAAGTAACTGTAAAGTTTTAGTAGCTTCCTACCTGTATACATGTATTGCATTAAATAAAAAAATTTGTTTGTCTGCAACATGATGACACTGGGCTGCTGAGAATGAAACTGAATTCACGAAGGTTTTTTTTAAACTATAATGAAGGAGAATGCATTGTTGTTTTGCGCTTTCACCATTTTGCTAAATCATGCTATCTACAATTTAAAATAAATGAATATTGATAGATATTGTTCTTTATATACCTCAGCACAATATATTGCAGACTACAAATAGAGAATACGAAGTATGCTTATAAATGTTTAGATTGATCCCTTCCATCATGCATCTTAAAAGTTGTTGAGAAGTGACATTTTCCTAGATAATAATAACTATAGAGTATTTAGCCACACTAGGCGGCGTTCTTAAATTGTACTTTACTTTGTACTGTACTTTGATGTAGCTGTTTGCATTCGGAAATAGACCAAAGTAAACCTTCTGGAACGTCAAAAGTGTGCTTTTCTTCCCGTCTCAAAAGCAAGGTTAAGAATCCTGTCACTTGTCATTCTCATAGTTCATTGTCTGTTTATTTTATTTGGTTATCCAAAACTGCTCAAAATTGGCAGAATTTTGATAAACGCTACCTCGTATCCCTAAGATTTGTTATAATAAATACAATGGTCGCAGAAAACGTGGTTAGATATTAGTCGTGTGTTATCAAATGTGATTACATGACTGTAATAATTTAGGCGTTCTAAAAATAAAGTTCCACAGTACTCCAGAGTAAAATTTAATCTGTTAATCCACATTCCATTTCTGTGTACGGTATTACATTGCCAAGTGATTTACAAACGCACCGCTACAGACAATACTCTACCCTAGGATTGGAAGTACCACTGTTAACAGCGCTATCTAAAGAAAGTGCCGTCCTCTAATCCATAACAAACGAAACTAAGACGACGATTGTTTACAACATTCTGATCAGTCAAGCTTCATAAAGAAATATTGTTACTGGGTGGTGTTAATTATGATAACTTGAAAAATATGTATCTATTATAAGGATTATTTATTAAAACATGCAGCTACTAAGTTTCCATCCACTCTCATTTTTTAATAACATACAACATATAAGAAAAGTATGTAAGTAGTGACGGTAAAATACGTAAATTCATAAGCACGTAAATATTTATTAATTTTTGCTTTCCTTTTTGAAAATCATATATCTTTCTATACTGACATCTTTTTTAGCTGGCGTAGAAACTTTCGTAAGCCTGGTTTTATCAGATTATATATTCAGCCAAATAAACAATATCGACAAAGACAGTTTTCACTTAAAGCTATAATTATAAAAGACACGTCTGCTATGTATGACCTCGCGTTGCGTTGCCAGGGAGACCCTGGTTCTCCTTTAAAATGCGGTTGACTCACAAAATTTGCATGTTTAGCATAATTTTATCTTTGAATTCTACAGGCACCCATGGCCTAATGTAATGATTACTTGACAATAGTTGACTTTAGAACAAAGATAAAATCAATTCGACGTTTTCACAGAACTGTTTTCGGTAAATAAAGGTGTCATGTAACATTTTTTTTTAAATTGCTTTTTCGCATTAAACCAACCTTCATGAGTGATTCTTTCATTCTAAGATTACTTTGTTGCAAAAACACGATGCGATCAAACCAATTAAACTAAATATGTATTTAAAATGTCAATAAAGTAAAAGTCCTAATAAAAAGTCAATTTTCTCAATACAATGATTTTGTTACATAACACCTTTATCCACTTGTGTCTTCAATTGTATGATACATTTTCTTGTACTCTTTCGTATTCTTGTTTTGTCGGCGTTTTATGAATTTGCCTGAAGTGGTGCGGTGAGAAAAAAAACGCGAGTTTTTAAAAATCCCGAACTTCCGTTATTGAAATCCAATGTTGTATTGACAAGAAGTCTGTGATCTGCAATGATGGACATTTTTATTTCAATCTACGAGTAAATGGAGATCAACAACCCACTTCCACATATTTTGCAAGTAAGCATATTTTTTATGGTCTTATTGTAAGTAATTTTTTTATGGTCTTATCACACATTCTTAATCCATTTGATTGATCCATCAAGATCAGTATCAAGTGAACTTATAACTTATCAGTTATATATATCGAATTTGCTATGTAGTTTTTCCATAAGATACTACCGTTGGATGTTTGATAAGATAAAGCGGATATGTTGTGCTCCTTAAATGAATGAATTTTGCTGTAAATAAATCTTAGTCTATTTAAAGTGATACAATGTTCTTCTTTCTGTTATTTCTATCTATAACTGCACTTTCACAGGTAATTTTATAAATTTATTTAGCTTGACTTACATATTGCTTTACGTTGGTAATAGAAGTTCATATAATATGCTTATATAGCTTATAATGGTCCGCATCCTCGCACATGCAAATATTTTATGATTACATGGTATTAGGGAAATAATAGTCGTAACTTAAGGGTGGTTTCTTGCATATTCTAAAAACCTTCATTATGACCTATGTCCGAAAATCAACCGTTTCGGAGCAAAAAAAATGCTGAACTTGTTTCTTTTTAGTCATAAAATAAATTGATTTTGCACCTTAATAATTTAAATTCATATGCCTAATAGCGTAAAATGTATCAATACATCTATTTATTAAGCAACTGTTTCTAACAAAATAATTTTCTCGCTTATTAAATACAATTTTCCGAAAAAAAAACAAACAAATAAAATCCCTCACACAACTGGCAACGTCGTACTCGCCTGCACTGCATGTATTATCGCGTGTTGTTGTGATTACTAATACATTTAACTGTAACTTTATGTGATTTACGGATGTTGTTTTTTTTTCTTTTTTCGTTTCGTTTCAAATAAGTGACTGACAATCGTGGGAATTGGTGATGTGTATCGCCACGTACCGGTAAGTTCTGTCATTTTTTTCAAGTAAATGTACTGTAATGAGAGCGTTATTAAATAAAAAATATTAGCCGCAAAAAATGCGTAAAAGTATTCAATAATTCAAGACATATTTTCAACAAAAATATCATACAAACGTAAATAATTCAATGAATCAGTTGCGGTCGTCGTGCAGCGTTGCCAAATGTTTGAGAAAATTTAATTATTTATGACTCACTTTCCACGAAAACGATTGATTTTCGGACATATAGTAAGTTATGATTTTGCTTAGAATAATGCAAGGAATCACCTCTCAAAGTTACGAGTATTATTTCCCTAACACCCTGTAGACACCTCAATATGAACAAAACTGTTTTCACTTAGTAGTGGCGTTGGTTCCAGAAAAACTATATTTAGAGAACAGGCTGCGCAACTGGTTTTTGCAAAAACTTAGGAGTACCTTAAAGTTGTTATTATTCATCTAATCAAAACCATTTTTTTTTTTCAGGCAAATGCACCAAAATAAAAATTATTTCTGCACTTATCGTTATTGAAAAATACAAAAATAGTAGTAAGTGTACTAAATCCGCGGCTCCACTCTCGTGGAAGTAGCGTAAAGTATAGGTCGTGCGTTTCGCATTACTTTGAAGGACATTGCTTTGGGGGAAAGAAATGCAATATTCAGAGTGATGCAATGAACATTTTCTTTCCAACATTTTAATGCAACAATAAGTTAATTCCAATAGTTTCTTTTCTTATGTACTCGACAAAGGGTAAGGAGTTTTCTTGAGAATCTATTTGATCTTACAATGACCTTGATGGTCACAGTCATTCTTGAACACAAAGTATCTTCCTTTTTATTCCCGGTGTCAAAAATAGGAGCTTCGATTTTAGGAGACTTTCTTGACTTTAAAATGAGAGAAGATCAAGGTTACGTTCAAGGTCACCATCATAGAGGCTCTAAGGGGTATATTTGTGGGCCCATATTACGTCACTTACAAAGTGACATTATATTGTTTTTTTAAATTATCTATGTTTTCCTATGAAATGTCACCTTTGAACTAGCTGACATTTATTTCATGCTCACTTATACACAAGTTGACATTGGCATTTTAACGATTTTTTGTCATTGTTTAGGTTTTTTACGACATAACCCCTGGCGAGCATACATCTGCTATCTTGACAATATTGTCCGCAATCTGTAGATACTTACATGGTCAAAAGTTTTCATTAGAAAGACAAAAATTAGACAAGAATGACTGGCGAAATTGTACGCATCGCGGCAGTTTACATCACTTACAATACATTAACCAAGATTCCAATAATTTACACAGCAATACATGACAATAGGTCGGAAATGTCAAAAAGTATGGCCGGGCTAGAAAAATATTACCTGTTTAGAAGCATCATTCTATGAAACTTGTTAAACCTTACAACTTTATGGCCTAACATTTTTCTTTAAGAGATATTTTGTCCTTTCCCGACTTCCTGGATAACCTCAAATATCCATGAAGGTCAAGGTCATGGGCAAACGTACTTCTTGAGATATTTTGATCTATCCATACTTTTTGAACACCCTGTATATTTTCGCGGATAAAACCATCAGATTTCAATTAGTGTACAAATTTCTTTTCGTATTGCGGTTCAGACGCATTGCTGATAGACTAGACAGACATTTATATATAGCGAAAATCGAAGGAAACCGTATTCAAGAGGGCTCCAGCTTTGTGTGGCTATGAAAAACATTTTGAGTTCGAGTGGCACTCGCAAAGGATCCCAGGGGGCTTTAAAACCTGCATATTTAGCATTATTTTGGGTACAATTTTGGAGATTTTCAGGATTTTGTAACCTCCCAGATAAAGTCTGCTACTCCCCTTTTCAAACAGTTTTCGCAAAAAGTTATCTCTTGGCAATGGTCGCCTCACCCCCATGAGAAAAATTCCTGCGAGCACCCAAGCAGTTAATTATAAGCATATTGGCCACCCAATATTATTTAGTTTCGTTTTTCAGTTAGTACATGAGCATTCCAAACCTGTTCCATCATTCCGAATCATCCATGGAAGGGTTGCAGGCCTACATTCTCATCCATATCAAGTTGGCATTTACGTAACGGGAAAAATTCAATCCCAGTTTTGTGGCGGATCATTGGTATCGAACAATTATGTTTTGACAGCAGCACACTGCGTTGAAGAGTAAGTTATTCATATTTGTAATATTATTAAGCTGTTATCTCTAAAAGGTGTTACAATAGGTTTCTTAAATTGGTAAGACTATACTTTAGCGCATATCGCAAATACTTCATTTCTCACTTTAAAATGAAATATTAGGATGTAACTTGCCCGAAAATATCAGTTTTTCTTTAAGGAACCCTCTGCTTGCTATTTTATAGAACTTCAAAGTTGCACGAAGTGGATTTAGTACAGTAAAACCTGCCGGCCACACCTCCAAATCGCATTTTATTGACAATTCTGTCCATGATTTGGCAACACCGCAACTAGATGGAGAGAGTAGGATAGTGATGGTGGTGGATGGTGGTGTAGTGATGGGAATATTTATCTAAAATAAAAGAAACTACTACTTAACAATGAACTATTTTCATCATTAAAATAATGCAAAATTGCATTATTGCGATGAACAGTGTCACAGTAATTTACATTGTATGTTATATTCAAATATTTTTGAGCAATCATTTGTGTAAACAAGAAAAAATAGCTCATAAAGCATTATTATATACCACAGTATTGCCACGCAAAATGCAACTTTGAAGTTCTATAAAATAGCAAGCAGAGAGTTCCTTAAAGAAAAAATGATATTCTCGTGCAAGTTACATCCTAATCTTTCATTTCAAAATTAGAAATGTAATATTTGCGATATGCGGTAAAGTATAGTTCAGCCCTTAAATTGATCGTTTTTCTTTCAAGGATTTAACTACGCAGGCCTCTAAATTTGATAAGTGGTGTGTGCTTGAGGTCCCACCGTGTTTTTCTCATGTAGGTTTTCACACTAAATGCAAATCTGAAGTTAAAATTTTGGACTAATAAGAAAGTAATTCAGGCATTAAGAACACAAAATTTATAATTCTGATGTCTAAATTACTCCCATATTTATCCATCTTCCCCCAATTTTGACTTCAGATTCGTGTTCGTCATGAAAAAGTACATGGGAAAAACATAGTTGGACCTCAAGTACACACCACCTATTTTATTTTGTGGGCTTGTGTTGTGGATCGTTATAAGACGGAGGAACACAGAATAGGCTACTTGACACATGTCTAATTTCAAAAAATATACTTTTTATTTCTAAAACGGAACATTGAAAACACTATCGGCCATGATGTGACGTCATACAAATTGTAAACAAAGAAACGTCATCCGTATGTCCCTCGTGGACTAATGTTACCTTCTTTTATATATTTCTAAAAAACTTATCAACGTTGAGTTTTATTGAAAAAAGAATCATAGACATTGGATTTGTAAAAGCAGAAAGCGCCAAAAACCGACTCGTTAATGGTTGGTAATTGTTTGCCTTAACCCCAGATTTCTGCTCTACTGAGGTGAGGAACATCAAGACTTCTATGTAAGTACAGCGCATCTGACATAATGATAGACATAAAAAGAAGAACTACGTAATACTCAGAATACTTCAGAAGTCAGTCAAAACTAATAAGCACATGCGTCATAACCTCTGAATAATTTTATCTAATATTGTACCTCTTCCTACTAGCCTATTGTGCAAACGTGCTACAAAAATTCACTCTCCTTTTATAAATGTTACGACGCGAGACGGTGGAACGGCTTAACACTACTGTTAAACTATGTAATTTTGCAGCGTAAATGCACTAAGCATGGAACTGATCTTCGGAGCGCACAACGTCACTGACAAGTCCGAGGAAACTCAAGTGAGACGGATTTCCACAGAATTCACTGTTCACCCTGGTTGGGACTGGTCGTTGAAACAAGGAGATGTTGCTTTGGTCAAACTGCCGGAACCTGTCAACGAAACTGAGCACATCAAGATCATTCGACTTCATAGCGGAAACGAAACATTTGCAGAAGAAAAAGGTACATTCTCGTACGAGTATAAAAGGGCGTTGTATGGGGTGCTCCAACGAAAATAGAAAGTAGTTTTATAGAAAAATTATAAGCGATATTCGAAAATGATTTTCCCAGCAAGATTGGTAGATGTGTATTCATAAATTATTTGGAAATGTACAGGATGTCGCACAATTCATTGGCACTGTAAACATGGAACACTCCATATTTTATTAAATATTTGGAGAGACCTCTCCCAAACCAGACGGTTGATATAACTATGGGGTTTTGATCATATGCTTATTTATTTGTATGAAATAGTACCTATTTTTTAAGAATTTAAACTCGGACATTTTGCGTAGTTTTTCATTGTATTTTGAAGAGAAGATGAGACTGGGGTCCACGTTAGGGTAGGGCACTTCACTCTGCCAGTACCACATATTACAGAAAATATTCCATCTCTTTCCACAGGTACGCTAGCAGGCTGGGGCATAACATCCAATACCCAAAACACAGTAACCCCCCTTCTCCATGAAGTGAACATGACCATAATGTCAAACGCAGACTGTGCTGCAGTTTCTCCCAGCTACAAGGCGTTCATAAAGCCCAGCTTGCTCTGCACTTCAGGCCTTGAGAGCGGCGTGAAAGTGGGCTTCTGCAAGGGTGATTCTGGAGGGCCGTTGGTAGTTGGAAAGGGTCCTGACAGTTGGCTGCAAGTGGGAGTCGTGTCTTTCGGGCAAAGTGACTGCGAAAAGGGGCTGCCTTCAGTGTTTGAGAGGGTCGCGAAGTATGTCGATTGGGTAAAGGCTAACAGCGACGTTGTAGTTTAGTAGAACTACATTTGTACAGAGTGTACAGAATGTTATGAATTTAAGGATAAGCGTATGAACAAAGTTGATGTATATGGTGATTCTAAGGAATAAAGTAAATAAAAAATAGCACGTAAAGCTTATACGAACATGAGTCTTAAAATTTGCCCTTACCGACGTACAGTGTGTTGAAATTATATTTTAGATATTGAAAAGGATATATCTTCGGATTTGATATTGGGCCATATTCATAAAACAAAGGATATCCTTGTACAAATTTTGAAGGAAATCCTGCAGATGGTATTTATTATAATTTGAAGTAAATGCTTTTGCTTTTTGAGTATAAGCATATTCTTCAAAGCAGTGACATAAGTAAAAGGATATTGATAATCTTCACCTTATACTTGGCATAGGAAGCATATCCTTCAAAAATTCTGAGTGTGGTCAGTAGCAGACTTAACTTCGTAACGAAAGGTGGTCAAACGATGATGGCGGAAATTGTGGATGTTAGGGATGTTAAAACGTACTAACCTCGTTTACCTTCACTTGGTCGTGACTTCAAAAAATTATATCGGTTCGACGAAGCAAATGCACAATGGCTTGCGGACAAATTTTTAGTTGAGAATGAGGAAACTCGAGGAGAAGCACTTTTATGTATTCCTAAAATGAAGATATGTCTACGTTATCTCGGCGGCCCTGGATATCAACAAGGTATTGGTCAGGAACTTGGTGTTAGTCAAGCAACGCTATCTCGGACTGTGGATAGAGTTGTGAACAGCATAGTTGCACAGTCGAACGAATGGATCAAGTTTCCAACTACCAACCATGAACTGATGGAGGCCAAGCGGATATGGCAAAGTATGTATAAATTTCCGACAGCAATTGGTGTAATTGATTGTACACATATAGGAATCCCGAAACCAAATCGCCATGGAGATGGGTATATCAACCGAAAAGGGAAACCTACCTTAAATGTGCAAGCCACTTGTGATGCCAGAGAGATGTTCAAAATTGTTGATGTCAGTTGGTCTGGATCAGTGCATGATTCCAGTATATGGATAAATTCACAGACTAGATCACAACTAATAAATAAAGCAAATGTTGTACTACTTGGCGATGACGGTTATGGTATTGAGTCATGCCTTATGACTCCCTTCAGAAGTCCTACTCCAGGTGCAGAAATAAATTATTATAAGCTTTTAAAACAAGAAAGGGTTATAGTTGAACGCTGTTTCGGCCAATTGAAATGCCGGGTTCCTATACTACAGTATGTTTGCCGCGTAAAGTTGGAAAATGTGCCGAAAATAATTATTGCTTGTATTGTACTCCATAATGTTGCGAAGACATTGGGCGATCCTGACTTTGAGTTAGTAGAACAAGACCCAGATGAAGATGAAGGAAATCATGAGAATGACTTCCTCTCCGCCAACTAGGTCAACAAATAAGAAGAAACTTGAGTATTATAATAAATAGTTTTACTGATTAAAGTGTATTTATAAGTTATAATACGTTTTATTTTCGTGAATATCATAAGTTACAGGTGGCTTCTGACGCTGCATCATTTCTAATTTCGTTTTATAATAGTCTTGTTGTAAAATACTTGTTTGGTACTGCTGCAATAGCACTAGACGTTGCAGTTCTTTTGTAGTTAACCCTTTGGTTTGCTCAGTTTCGTATTTCTCTGTTGCCAATTTTCTCTTTGGTGGCAATGTCTTGTGAATTGCTGGCGCTGTAATACTAACTGTTTGCTCACTGCGCTCGGTATATAGTTCACTTCCTTATTCTTGAACACTATACCAACTTGAATGGCACCTCTAATTTTCCCAATTGTAGGATTACAGTCACCTTCAGCAAAATAATGGGAGCAATGGCAATTTCATCTGCGATGAACTGCAGGTCGTTGCCATTATTTTCTATAGTTTCCTCATCACTTGAGGATGACGTGCTTATTAATTTGATAAAAAACTGTATCCAGTAAAAATACGGAACGGTCTATGTAAGCTCTGGAGTACAACTGTCAGTGATGCTGAGTGAACTAACTCCCACGTCAACTAAAAGCTGGAACAAGTCACGACATGTCGCTCAAGATACAAATACCAGTCAACCTTTTACTTCTTCTTGGAGGATATCCTCGCGAGTATAAGGTAATCATTATGAATATTAAAACAAGGATATGCTTATACTTCTACCTTTTTCTCCGAAGCAAGACTTATACTTTTACCTTATGCTTCCGATGATATGCTTCTCTTTTATGAATACCGCTCATTGACTTAAAACTGTTTACATACTGTACTAACATCGTAGCCAATATATACGAAAATGTTTGTTCCTGAGACTACTCCAGTGGCGTAGACATTGGGAAATTTTAACCACTACGGAATAAAGATACTTTTTTCTAAATCTCTTGCCCATTTGAAATACCTATTGCATCTTTGAATACGGTATTCAATTGCAAATCGCCACGTTTTCTGAATCGCCTTGCTTACATGGGTCCGGAAGTTCCCCGTGCAGCGAATAATAATTGTACGATACAAATAAATGTCGCTTTCTCAAAGCTACAGTATATTCAGATAAGAGATAGACCGGACATAAACAAGACCACGTGATCATCGAACGCTGTAACATTTGGCAGGGACGTATTAAGAGTCACGCAGTACATATTTTAGATAGTAGATGCTGCTTTGCGTAACTTTGTAGTAAATTAGCACAATTCGATGTGTATACGATTGGTGATGGATATAGGATCATGTGGGGGTGGGGTAAGAAATATATAATGATGTAAATATACATAAGGGTTTCAAAATTTTCGCTTCGATTTCCAACTTCGGATGCCGCCAGATGTTTGGTGAAATACAGTCGAATATAATCTCAAAATGGCGTTTAAATTAGCCTAAATTAAAAATAATCGTATATCTCTTAAAATTGCTTTTAGAATATTGATTAGTATATTTTTGATTTCTAGGTAAATATGTAACCAAATTAAAACGTTCAAAACGTAAAAAAATGTGCATGGTTGAACATTGTCAGAAAGTAGATTCTTGAATAGGTTTTGCCAAAATGGGTTCAAAAATGTCAATAATTAATTAAAAAATACAGTAGCTTTATAATTACTTATAACTTACCGAATTTGATGAACGACATCTTTTATTGGAAAGATGAGCTTGATGAGCTTTCATCACCGCTACTGCCTGAAGCACCAACGTCAATAATGAATGGCTCGACTTGTTCCTCTAAAATATTGTCCAGTTCCCACATTCTCTTTTCAACTTTGTCTTTCACGTGCTTAATACAGTTTTCCCATTTTTGCTCTGTTATTAATTCTAGTGCTACTTTGAAAAGTCCTTTGAGGTCACAAAATTTAAAAGTTGTATTGTGCTTAGCTATATAATTTTTAACCTCTGCCCATATGAGCTCAATGGGATTGAGCTCGCAATGGTATGGAGGTAAACGGAGCACAGTTTTATTTTGACTTGCTACCATTTCGTCAATGGCGTATTTTTGATATTCCGCCTTGTGATCCTTGACAATTCTTAATAATTGTACTTTCAGCATTGCTTCTTCAAAGTTGATATTTTTCGAGCGGAGCCAATTTTGAACATCAACTTTCCTTGAAGCCGTTGTTGGGACCTTCTCCATTCTTCGAGAATGATAAGGCGCATTATCCAACACAATTACTGCGTTTTCCTCTAAGTTCGGTAAAATTTTTGAAAACCACTGTTCAAACGATTCGCCATTCATTTCCTCGTGGTAATCTCCAGTTTTCTTAGACTCAAAGCACCACAGACCGTCAACAACAAATCCATCCTCACTGCCAATATGCCAGATAATGAGCCTTTTCCCTTTACCTGGAAATCGAAGTACTAACTGGTGTAGATTTATTTCAATAAGCGAACCTTTTTCAAATGTTTTCATCACATTCAGCGAAAAAACATTGAGACATGAGTATCAGATTGCTATAATTGGGATTATTTAGTCATATTGAAAGAAAGAATATTGAACGTCGTATGATTACTCAGCGCTTCACAATTTAATTTAAAGTTATAAACCTTTAAAAAATGAATGATCAGGAACCTGAAATACGCGCAAATATTAATATTAACAAATTATAACTTTATAAAGCTTAAAGTATGAATTAAAATGATTAGAAATATTAGGAACGGTACACAATATAAAACTTAGTAACTTTTTTTAAGTTTATAATATTCGACATATTTTAAGATTATATTAAAAAATTATTGAAATATCGAAAACACATAAAAATATGGCTTAAAAAAGTTCTTACAAATGAAAATGACAATAAAACATCCACGCATTTTATCGAAAGTTATAAAAGTTTTGTTACTTGTAATATGTTTTATCTGCCCCCTGGAATTAATGTTTAGAACCTTGTTCCCAAGGTTTGAAAAACATCCGATTGTTGTCTATTACTCGTATTTACCTGCTGGATTTTTTAATCCGGTGGACAGTCCATCTAGAAAGGCCCTCCTGGATGAAGTTACAGAATCATCAACTCATACTTTACTTGTAGTGTGTCCTGCGTTTACCCACGTTTCATCAAGGTAATAAATCTTCCTGTTTTGATTTCTATATTTCCCAATTTTTGTTAAATAATCCCTCCTCCATAGCACAATTTCTTCTCTATCCAGTAGTAAACTATTACGACCCCGTTTTTTTCATTTGAAATTTAAATGCTTCAGTAACGCATGGAAAGTTGATCGTTTGAAATTTGGCAACGTTGTATCTCCATTTACCTCCTGCAGTACTTTATCTATAGTAGGTATTTCATTCCTAAAGAAGAATTCATGCTCTTTCCTCCTAATCGCATGCTTATCAGCTTCATCCAATGATTTAACAATACTTTTGCGATGTTTACTGGTCATTGGCTCAGAAAAGGTGTGATTTTTTTGTATTGTCTTAACACATTAAACACTGATGCGCGACACACCCCAACTTTGTGAGAAACCTTCACAACAATTTCTTTGATGGTTGATGCCTCGTTCTCCTCGCGCTCGATCTTATAT